AACATCAACTTGGGCTTATACTCTCCTCGCAGCACAAGTGTCAGTACCGTCGCCCAGCGCACCATATCTTCTCGATCATTTCCTGCGACTGTATAAATTCGATCTGCACACACCTGAGAAAATGAATAAAAAATTGTGAATTGGTTACGAGCAATAATTGTTAACAGATTTAGAAACGGATACATCATTTCTATAAACTAGAGCATTCAAACGTACCAGATCTAGTGCATGTTCAGGGGCGTCTGCCACACTGGATGGGAGCACAGCATTGACCGACGTCAAGTGGATCGCGCCCAGTTCCTGCTCCTCTGTACTCGTCTTGAAATACCGTAAGATCATCCCGTCCAGCACGAACCACCTGACTCTGTATGAATTGCCCGGTAGATGCAGCCTCAAGAGTCTTGAGCTGTTGAGTTTCTTACCGCCAGCTCCGACGTGCTGCGCTTTGCGTTTAAAGTCAGGTTTAAGTAGAAATCCTTTGGGGTTCTCCAGCCAGTCTGTGTGGATGGCGCCCGTGATCTGCATCTGATGCACCTCTCTCGAGAGCTTCTCGTACGCATTCTCGGGCCCACCAGACGCCCCCACGGCTGCATCGCCAGTGCCCGCGCTCACGCCCCCGATAGCGCTTGCACTCAGGTCTGTTGCCATCGTAGAACGGATGCACGTTTCTACCTGGGGATAGAAACTAGGGAGGGGCTTTTTACCCAATGAACAGAAAGCAGATGAGCGGTGTAGCCATGTTAAAATGGGTACGGTGGTGATTCTATTGCCAACACTTCACGTGGTTTGATGACGTTTATCGTGTTCTATATCCGCCAGCGCTTCCTCTGCGTCATACGACGCTCGAAATAGAGGGCATCGAACCATTGCCAGCCTATCAGTGAGGAGGGCAAACTTCTCTTTTTTGGTAAAATTAGCGATGGCAGCGGTTTTCTGCCCTGGTCCCCAAAACAGCGTCTTCGTCGTGTCTTGAGCACTTGCAAGCCCGTTCGAGGTTAAGGCTGCGTGTCAGCTTCCAACCAGCGAACGCCACGTCGGGTCGACAGGGAGGCCACGTGCTCGCAGGCATGGCGGCGGCCGCCATGGCGTCCTCCCGGGTGAGCTCGGGTAACAATGGCTCGTCGTCGCCGTCACCGTCACCAGCGCCTGGATCTCGCCCATCGGCTGTACCGAGACTTGCTGCAGTCGTTCGTGGTGTGGCTCCTAGGAAGTCGGTGATATCGAGACTCACGCAGTTCTCCAAACCCGTTTCGGTGGTTCCTTTCGCCCCTGAACGCCTCAGTATCACGCAAACAGCATTGACACCTGAAATGATGAAAAGCATCGCGGAGAAAGGGGTGCGAACCATTTCTTTAATTGCGGTATCGTTTTTCTTTTTTATCCTAATTAATAACTTTCCCACTTAGCAACAACGTGAACGCGCGTCATCTCGAAAAGAAGATTCGGTGACGACGCTGTTTGCAGCTCTACGAATGCGACGAGCGCTGCATCGAGTACAAGCTGGACACGAACAGATGGGACCTCGCATTCTAATCGACGAAACCAAAGCGAACCTCGAAAGACACCTCAAAGTGCTCTCGCGATATAAAATTCGACAAGTGGACACCGATGCCGATGAGAGACAACAATTGCGGAATCTCCCGCCTTTGATGGTGAACCCTCACAGCTCCGTGTTCAAGCTGTGGCAGCTGGTGACGTTAGTTATCATCATTTACCAGAGTATCATGCTGCCATTTGCACTCGCTTTCGGCTCCAACGACACGACCGTAGTCGATATCTTAATGAGCAGCATCTTTGCACTGGATATCGCGGTGGCATTCAACACACCTTTCGCAGAGGACGCTGACGAGATGGTGTATACCACCGATCGATGGCTCATTGCATCCAACTATGTACGAGGATGGTGCGTTCCTATTATTTTATACGCAGATTTTACATTTTTTCTAATATCAAATATTATCTATCGTGCGCGCATGCATTCGTCGAGTGCGGTGCACGGGAGCAGGTACCGCAATGACCGTGCACCCGCGTGGCATTGGTGAGTGCCAGGTGAAGTAAAAAAGACTCGCAAAGTCCCAACAAAAAGCGCTGGTTGTGAAGCCTACTTTAATATTAAAAAATACTATCGTCTCTACTTTAGAAAGTCTGTGGAAAATAGCATCGCCGAGCTCTTACAAATGCGGCCTGTAAAGCTAATACTAATACTATTAATATCGTCTTTACTTTGAAAAGTGTGTTAAAAATAACATCCCAGAGCTCTTACAAAATACTGGTCTGTGAAGTCTACATAAATTTTAATAAATATCTCTATTTGAGAAGTGTGCAGAGCTCTTAGAAAATAAAGGGGTTACTATGCCCGATTTGCAGTACATACGACAGGTTTGGCGTAGCTAAACGTCAATAATCAAGTATCTGCGCAGCTCGCCTGGCTGTTTGCAGCCAATCGATGTGTTTCATTCTCGGCAGAAATGTTTACCTTACGTCCAATCGCGAGGGCGAGAGAAGGTCTGGTCGTGCGACAGATCCAGTCAGTGTCGCAGGTCGGCAGGTATTGCCCAATCAGGGCGCGAGTTAATTGTGTAACGCTTTTGGATATATTTGTAATTTTAGCATAGTTAGGTCGAGTCAGAAAGGTAGGCACGGTCGGTACGATGGGAGGAAGGGGTATTAGACAGGCCGACTGTAGTCATGCGAAAAGGC